GTGTCTGCGGGGCACAGGCGTCCGCTGGGGGCCCGCAGGAGGGAGGGGAGGCTCTGGTGACTGGGCAGCGGACCCGGCAGGTCGGGCCGCAGCCACCGCAAGCCCTGGGTGCGGCGCCGTCTGCGGCTGGCCAGGGCGTGGGGCCCCCTGGCCCTGGGGACTGCGAAGGGCCTGACCTCCAGCAGGAGCCCCGACACTTCCCGAGGCGGCCGTAGTCTGGAAACCTGGGCTGGCCCAGGGGCGGCCGAGTGTGGCGGCTTCAAGCCCTGGTGGCGACTGGCCACAAAGCGGGGGACACGTGGGTCGGCGCGTGGCACCGAGCCGGCAGGGCTGCAGTGCAGGTGCCTACGGCCACATCGCCACCCCGCGGGGGCCCAGGCAGGCCCGTGGGGGGCCCGGCCGCTCCCACCGTGGCCAGCCTCCGTGCCGAGTGTCGAGTGGCCTGTTCCAGCTGGGTCGGCCCACGGGGGACGCGGGGGAAGCGTGGCGCAGGCTGTGTGGGTCAGGCAGAGCCCACCCCCGTCAGAGCGAGTCTGTTCGGGAACAGCCGCGAGAACCAGAATTTGGGGTCACCGCCATGCACTGCGGGCCCAGGGGGGCTAGGGGCAGCTGGCACGCCAGGTGAGAGGAGGGCGGCCGGTCTGGCGGCTGGGGGCACCCTGGCTCCCCGGGAAATGAGCCCTTCGCGGTGAAGGCCTCTGAGGGGGACACAGTGAGTAGAGCCTGTGAGCGAGGGCGGCGTGAGCCAGCGCGGGGCACCCGTGTGAGCAGAGGCCGTGGGCCAGGCGCCGCGGCCTCAAAGAAGTCTCTGCACGCCTCCTCCTGCTTTTCTTACAAGCATGTAATTGGGAAAACACCGAACACAAGCTCCACCGTTATGAAACCGAAACGTTTAAGCCGTTTTCCAAAAAATATGTCAGACAAGAACCAGCCACCGACAGGACAAAGGTGCGCGCCGGCAGAGCGCGAGGGGCCAAGCCCGGCAGCCGCGGCCGCGCCAGGCCGGCGAGCTGGGGCGCCGGCTCTGATCTACAAACTCCGGGCAGAAAAACGGGCGTCGACCAGGCTAAGGTCGCGCGCCGGCGCGGCTTCCTGAGGAGACAGAGAGAGCGGGCGGCTGTGGTGCGGCGTCGGCACGGTTTATTTCAGCGTGTGGGCGCGCGCCGGACATTCGCGAACAGCACGGGCCTCGCCCTCGTTCCAGAACATTCCCCGGGCTCCGCGC